CAACAGTGACATTCGTTTATTAAAATTACAGTGCCTGTTTTCCCATCGAACAGAGGCACAGTCAGCAGAATGGATCATTGGTATTTGCTTAGACAGGGCCAGATACATCTGAAAGCAGTTTTGGGAGATGGTGAAACCAAGCATATGTATTTGCTTTCCTTCTCTCCAATGACCCACTGATAAATAGTAATGATGCCTGCATACAGAATACATCCACTGGGATGGTGAGAGCAAAAGAGGGGCCCACCAGAATGACAGATTGTGATAAAATTCTCAGAGGCACCAAATAGCTAGGCCTATTAGAACAAATAAAATAGAGGAAATATGCAGAACAGAGACGGGAAGGCTGTGTGGGAATTCCTGGCATGGGAGCCCTCTGAGATTTTCAGCTTGGAATTTCTAAAGTATAATGATCAGGAGCTAACTAGGATGATAATCAGGGTAGTGGGCCTTAATGGTCCATTCTTTTGCTTCTATATATCTGAAGTAACTTACTATAACATTTGCTTTTACTGCCTTCTTGACCTGGTTAGGTCCCATGGCATAAGTATTTAAAACAGAGCCTAAAGTGACTCTGGACTTTATAACCAACTCAGAGGAACTTCCCTGCACAGATACTAGCCCCAAGCAAAGTTCTCTCTTTGGCAACTGAAGTAGTTTGAAATAAAGGTGTTGCCTTCTCCCACCTCTTAACACCCTGAAAAAGCCGAACTGTCAGTTTCCTGTAGGAAAGCGACTTACACTGAGCTGGTGCTGAGGAATGAGGCTTTAAAAATAAAATTAACATTTAAAAAATTTTTTGTATATGAGTGTATTGCCTGCATGTCTGTGTTGTGCAGTGCCCATGGAGGCCAGAAGAGGGTATTGGATTTCCCTGGGCCTGGATGATTGTTATCTGCCATGTGGGTGCTGGGCACCAAACCTGGGTCCTCTGGAAGAACAACCAGTGCTCTTAACTGCTGAAACATCTCTCCAGCCCCCATTTTAAAAAATTTTTAATTACTTTTAGGAATGAGGCTTCTTATATAAATAGTCATTCCCTCAAAGGAAACCTGTGCCAGTTGTCTGCTTAGTAATTATTTTGGGGTTTGAAGTTCAAGCCAAGAATCATGAAATATTTGCAGAAAGCAACATAAACAAGACAAAATTAAGCAAAATTGCTGGCTCAAAAGAAATAGAAAAAAATTAAAACAAAAACATTAGTATCTTCCCATTTTACCTTCAGCCTAGAACAGACAGCTGAGAGCAGTTTGATGTCTAGCCTTGCAGCAAGGAGAGGCTGCGTAATTTTTGCAGTTTTGACTTCCTTTAAGTCATCAGGGCAGCCAGGTAGCCAGGTGTGAGGAAAGGCAAACAGAAGTTCTGCACTGATCACCAGTGCAGAGCATGGGAAGAAATCAGCTGTCTAGGACAGGTAAAACAATTCACTGAAGCTCTTACCCATCACTCATGGCCAAGTGTGGGCTCTCATGAAGCCATAGGATTTAGAAGGAAGTTAGTTACCTTAAAGCTTCTCTGTGAGCTCCCAGTAGATATTACAAGGAAGATGGAAGGCAGGGCAAGAAATCGGAGGAAGTGAGTCCTCTTGCAAGAAAAGCATAATCTGCTAAGAACAACAGCTATAAGCCTTTGTGGGAAGAGCTAGAAACCCTGCAGTTCTGGGGACAGATCAAAACCTGGTGTTCTTGAAGGAGAAATGAGCAAATGTACAATTAAAGTTGGAAAGGACAACACTCATCTTTGAGTAATTGATAGAACAAGTAGGAAGAAAATTGGTAAGAATAAAATACCTTAACATTATTGTGCAGAACTCTGTCCTCTGGTTAACATGATTGTGCGGAACTCTGCCCTCTGGCTAACATTGTGTGGAGCTCTGCCCTCTGCTTGCTGGAAGAGGGAGGCATTTTCTTCAGTAGTGTAGCTGCCCATAAGTTGATCATGCTTCTGTAAGTTATCCCAGTTAAACTTGTTGGTTCACTAAGCTAGACTTGGGTGAAATTATTTCCTTAGCCTGTCTTTGGTGCCATATCTGGGCTAAGTAGATGTTTGTTCATGCCTTCCCAAGAAAAGTTAATGAAACAGGGACTAGAGAGATGACTCAGTGGTTAAGAGCATTGACTGCTCTTGCAGAAGACCCAGGTTTGATTCCCAGCACCCATATGGCAACCACATGGTTCATAACTCCACTTCCAAGGGATACAGCACCCTCTTCTGACCTCCACAGGAATTGCATGACATGGGTATACTTACATGCAGGCAATACACTCATGCACATAGAAAATCAATATATAAAAATAATAAATAAAATAATTTTTAAAAGAAAAGTTAATGAAACAATAGTCAACATGGCAGTGTGCCACTCCTGAGCACTAGCACAATAACTTTTTGGTTTTTCAGATATACATGGGACAGTCAGATCCAACTATGAAATTTTATATTTGGTACCAGGAAAATAACAAATAGAAAATTATTAAAATCATGTAGAGTATGTTCTCTCATCAAAGCAAAAATGAACAAGAAATCACTAACAGAAGGCTACCTGGAAGATCCTATTTAGAAATTACACAGCACACATGTAAGAATCTTTGGATCGAAGAAGAAATACTGAGGCAAATTAGGAAATATTTTGAACAGAATAAAAATGTAACATGAAAATTTAAAGGAATATAAGCTTAGAGGGAAATTTGTAATATTTAATTTTTTTTTTTTCTTTTTGAGACAGGGTCTCCCTGTAGCCCCAGCTGTCCTGGAACTCACTATGTAGACCAGGCTCGCCTTGAACTCACAGAGATCCGCCTGCCTCTGCCTCCTGAGTGCTGGGATTAAAGGCGTGCGTCACCACGCCCAGTGATGCATATTTAAAAAAAAGAAAGGTGTCCAGTTTATAATCTAAGCTTGTACCTTAAACCAGGAAAAGAAGAACAAATTCTTCACACAGAAGGAAAGAAATAATAAAAAATAGAAATTGAAAATCAGAAAATGAGGATATCAGTCAAACCAAAGGATAATGGCTTGGGGAGATCATTAGACTTTATAAGCAGGCAGCCAGAACAACCAAGCAAAAAGAGAAAAGGTACAAGTTAGCTGGGTATGATAACATACCATCAATCCCAGGGAAGCAGAGGTAGATGGATCTCTGTGAGTTTGAGGCCAGCCTGGTGTATATAGCAAGTTTCAGTCCACCTAGGGCTATATAATGTGACTTTGTCTCAAAAAAAACTTTTTTTAGCAGAGAGGGAAGGAAAGTGCGGATGTGCACACACATACACATATACAAACACACACACACACACACACACACACACACACACACACACAGAACCAATATCAATTAACAATAGGGATCATCACTACAAGCCCTACGGGCAGTAAAGAGATAAAAGTCCTATTTCAAGTAGTGCAATGTAGCATATCACAAGAACACTGAAGCCAGGTTGAAGAGAATTTCACTGTCTAAATCTGGGACAACTTGAGCACTAAAGTGATTATGTACAGCATACATGGGTGGTGAGTGTCAACTTAAAAGCCTTATAAAATTGGGGCTGGAGAGATGGCTCACTGGTTAAGAGCACTGGATGCTCTTGCAGAAGACCTAGGTTTGGTTCCCAGCACCTGTATGGTGGCTAACTGGCTTATATAACTCAAGTCCCAGGGGATCTAGTGCCCTCTTCTGACCTCCATGGGTATTGCATGTGCATGGTGCTCCCTCTATACATGTAGGAAAAATACTCATACACATAAAATAAAAATAAATTGATTTTTTAATGTCTCACAAAATCATTAAGATAAAGAAAGGAGGGATTGTTTGGGAACTGAAGAACATGAGCCGTGTTCCTTGATTAAGTTCTGTTTGGGGACTCCATCTTCCACTTACTGGTCCTCAAAGTGTAGTTGAGAAAGTAAAGTATTTAGAAAACTGCTGAGGGCTGGGGGTTCAGCACTTGCCTCAAATGTGTGAGGCCCTAAGTTAAGAAAAAAAAAAAATGCTGCTTAGGTGTTTTTGTGTTACAGTCCAAACTGTATTTTGGCCAGATAAGCCTGCTTTCTAGTCTTCACTGTGGGAACGGGCTGTGCGGCAATTTAGGCTAGGCACCTTTTCTTATTGGATCACAATTCATGAAACTAAAGCCCTTTGAAGATATGAAAGTCTGTCAGGATCTTCGGCTGTTTCTGTTTGCTTGAGCACCTCAAGTTGTAATCAGACCTGTATTGTCAAGAACGTAAGAAGCTTTCGCTTCCTTAGAGTAGGAAGATAGAAGAGAATTTTATTATCATAAAACCGAGGTTCAAAAGGTCAGTACAGTCACAAAATTGGGATATATAACACAAATATTAAGTGCTAAAACATTAAATTGCTAAAACAAACTATTAAAGGAAATTAAATGTTTTGTAATAGTATTCCAGTGTGCGGATATCAGATAAAATGGACTAGTCCTATCATTCACATCTATGGGGCTACATTTTATACAGCTATAACTTTAGACTGTCAACACATAAAAATGCTTTGTGACATAATATGGAAAATCAGAATAATATATATTTCCTGTACCCTATGATTTTCACTAAAAATGCTTATATTTATGAGCAAGATCAAAGTTCATGAAATGTATAGTAATCAAAATATAGGCAGTTTTTTTTGTTGTACATTTTATGTTTTCAGTAATGTTATGTAGAATTTGTAGTTGAAAAGGTTAACCACTCTTTCAAGGGTGATGTCTGAATTTTGAAGTCTCATCAAGGTTTCTTGGTCAATGTCCAGAAACCTCTGGGCAGAAAGTCTTAAGACCCCTGGCGTTCGGCTGTGCTAGAGGCTGGACCCTGTGTCCTTTGAGCCAGTAGCAAGTGTGTTCCAGTGACTCCCTCCGGAACTGTACTTGATGCACTCTGCCTGCCAGTTCTTTATTTCATGGTCAGGGGACTGGGCTCTGTGCCTGTGGGTATGATTGAGCAGTGTCTACAGTGTGACATCTGGAATTGTCTCTTTCCATTTCTCCTTCTAGGAAGTGCCTTTTCAACTGAACACGTCAAGCTTCAACTCCAGAAAGAATCCCTAAGTGAGTTGAGAAAGGAATGCACTGCGAAAAGGTACATGCATGCGGCTTTCTGGAATGTCAAGTTTACTGTGAGGGGGCATTAGGAATGGTGGCCTTCTTTAAAGTGCCGCTACTAATTTGCATTTCATGAGCTCAGCACCACATTCATCGATTCAGCAGATATTTATGAATACCTACTGTGTGTTAGGCACTGTGCTAGAGGCCAGAACCCTGACCACTGCTCCCATTTCCCATAGCACTATGGCCTGCTGGTAGTATCCTCTCCTTCCTGTCTTCTTGCAATCTCAGCTTATTGGCCTTTTCTTCAATAATTCTCCACTTATTCTAGCTTCCTGGGAACTCATTTGGATCAGCTCATCAATACCTAGAAAATTTCTCCAAACAATCTCTTCATCCTCCCAGTTCATCCCCCTGTTGCTATCTGACCTTTCCTCTTAAAATGCCACATTTGCCATATTTTCCCCTCTTAATATGGTCATTCTTTGCTTTATTTTAAAATAGCCTTCAACACACTAGCATTATGTAGCCATAGTTAGTTTTAGTTTTTCCCAACACAAAATGATGGCCACAGTTTTAATTTTCACTTTTCCCCAGTACATATTTAATTTATGGTCTCTTCTGTTTTTGTGGATCTTTACTCACTTTCATAGAAAGTCCCACCGTCCTACATTTTTCTTTGAGAAACCTTAATAGTTGAGGACTCAAGAATGTTAGACCTAGAAAAGGCCATAGAGATTATCTCTTCTAATCCTTTCAATTTGCAGATAGGAAAGCAAGGCCCTGGGAAGTCATTATGTGTCCAGCTCACCAGCAAAGCCACGGCTAGATTCCATTAAGTCTTAGTGCTCTTTAGATAGGAGAAGCCAGTCCCACCACCCCTCAACACAAAACTCTTTTTACCCCAGGTTTCTCCAGCAAGCAACAGTTGAGTGCCTTATAATGTAATGCAAGCCTGACATTGTCTGTGTTTAGATACCTCCCTGCAGTCAGTACTTATACTGCAACCTGTATGCGATACCAGTCGCAAGCCCTAGGTTATGACCCATGCTTCCCACTGACCAGCTGTAAGCTGTGATTCCTACAAACCTCTCCTGGTTTGATTAGTTGGTAATTTACTAGAGGGGCTTCAAGACACAGGGAAGCATTGATGTTTACTGATTTATTATAAGGGATATTACCAGGAGTACAAATAAACAGCCAGATTGAAGAGGTTCTGTACCCCTTATATGCATGCCATCATCCTCCAGTTACTTCATAGACTAGAAGCTCATCAATCTTGTCCTTCAAAAGGATTACAGTGCTTGATCTTGATCTCCAGCACCTTCCACCCTCTTCATGGAAGAAGTGGGTAGAGCTGAAAACTCTAACCCTCAAATTACTTGTGCTTCGTAGTGACCAGTTCTGTCCTTGGAATGTCTAGGTGTCCCCACACTTCATAGCATAAATTCAGGTGTTATCAAATGGGGCTTACAAAGAATAAGGAAAAATACTCCGAAAAGTCCAAGGGTTTTAGGTGCTCTGTGATTAGAACCTGGAACTAAAAACATATGCATTTCATAGTATAACAAAGTGGTTTTTGCATTACTGTACAACTTTTCCATTCTACTTTGACCTACAGTTTCTTTTAAATTCATCTCTCTAACTTAAATTCTTAAATTGCTAAGACAGTGAAGCAGGTGACACATTCTATGGGTGTTTTATGTTGGCCACATTTCCTACGTAGTTCAGGAGATGAGCTCTCATACCTCAGGTTTTGTTTGTTTGTTGCTTATTTGTTCATTTTATTATTTTTCTAACATCATAAAAGTTTTTTTGAGGTGGTTACAACATGTAGTGAAAAAAATACTTTTTTTTTCTTTTTCTTTTTAAAGGAAATACAATATGGATCAAATCCTGAGATGCAGTTGGCGTCACTGAGTTAGCAATTATTAAATATTGCTCCATTTACTAGGCCTCTCTCAGTCTTGCTCCCTTATTTGTAAGTGGGTATAATCATGGCCCACTATGTTTCTCTAATAATTGAACAAGGCTATTTGTAATGCTGCTGGTACCTAGTAAGAAAGTGCTCAGTGCATGGATGTTTAGTTATTATATCCTTCACAGCTCTTAGCACAGACAGTAGCCCATAGTATATAGATAACTTGATCGACGGTGTTTAGAAACAGGTCAGGACACATGGTAGCTGTTATTCTTGCCTCTACATCTGAAATTCTGAGGCCCACTGCAGACTGTTTAATCTTCTCTGCATTCATTAGGTATAAATAAGTGTTCGGAAGTATGGAAGGATAATTTTTTCATGAATTTCCTTTTCCTCTTTCCTCATTAGAGAACTCTTTCTGAAGACTAATGCTCAGTTGACTATTCGTTGCAGGCAGTTACTCTCTGAGCTTTCCTACATTTACCCTATTGATTTGGTAAGTTTCAAACTTCTAAAAAGATTGTTCTTTTTTTAATTAAAAAACAATTATATGTATGTGAGTATATTGCCTACATGTATATAAAAGCACCATGTGATTGCAGTGCCCAAAGAGGCCAGAAGAGGGCATGCTTTCCACTTGAAATTTCCACAGTGTGGTTTTTAATCACATACTCTCTGATGATTCAGGAGAGCTTCAGGAACTAGGATCTATTTGAAAATTTGTTAAGACTCAGTTGGGAGGCTGGGAGATAGCTCAGTCCTTAAAGTGTGCATTACACAGGCATGAGTCCCTAGGTTCAGTCTATAGAACTCACATTAAAAGACAGGCAAAATGGCAAGCACTGGTAAGCCAGAGCTGGGAAGGCAGAGACTGGAGGTTAGGGTCCCTAGAGCTTGCTGAACAGTCAGCCTAGCCAGGCCAGCAAGCCCCAGGTCCCAGTGAGCCCTCTGGCCTCCATATCCATACCTTTATATTCTGTTCACCAGAAAGAATGCCAAAATATTTCTGGTTTCTTTAGGATCTTTCTATTCCCTCAGGTTGTCCATTTCTGATACACCTTCAGATATACATGCATTATTTTAAAAACACAATTGCTAATTAATCTATATTTATTGATATTCATTAAGATTCCCTCTGGTAACTTTCAGGATGTTACATTTTGAATGTAGTTTCTTAAAATCAACACAAAGGGCAACAGTTATATAAAACTGATTAGAGTTATTTAGAAATTTAGAAAATCAAAATTGCTAAATTTGATGGTCCCCTTGTTAAAGAAAATCTATTTTGTTGGGTGTGATAGTGCATGCCTTTAATCCCAGCACTTGGGAGGCAGAGGCAGGTGGATCTCTGTGAGTTTGAGGCCAGCCTGGTATACATAATGACTTTCAGGCCAGCCAGGGTTACAGGGAGACCCTCCCTCAAATAGACAAAAAATGAAAGAAAAAAAATCTATTTAAAGGATTAATTTTCAGAGAAACCTAATAGGATTTTACTTTGCTCACAGACTCTTGTAAAGTGTTTATAAATGGATTAGCCAGAGATTTTCCTTATTTATTTTTAAGACAGAGTCTCTCATGTAGCCCAGGCTGGCCTCAAACTTGCTGTATCGCCAAGGATGACCCTTGAACTCCTCATCTTCCTGCCTCCACCTCCCAAGTGCTAGGATTGCAGACATGTGCCACTGTGCCAGGCTGCATGTTTTTATGATGTTACTTTTACATGACTTTCTTTGGACACGATGTTATCAGTGCTTTCACTGTAGAAAATTTCAAGTATACATAAGTAGAGGAAGGCAGTATAAGAATCTTCAAATACTCTTCTCCAACCTTAACACTTGTAACACCATTCCAAGTCTAAGAGAGTTTTACCTCTCAGTCAACACTATCCTGCTAAATTCTTGGAAATTTGACTTAAGGTTTTCTTTGCTTTATACAAAAGAAGAATTAATTTCATTCTTTGATTAAATTCACAGAATGAGCATAAGGATTACTTTGTATGTGGTGTCAAGTTGCCTAATTCTGAGGACTTCCAAGGTATTTTATTCCTTATTTTATTTCTAAAGATTTGGTATATGTCATGTATATGGGAATTGAGTTTTCTTGGATGTTGGATGCCTAGCACCTTGTCCAAAAGGGACTTTAGATCTTTGTCCAACAGGGAGTTTAGAACTTCTGTCCTTTCCTAGTTAGAAGTACACAGAGTCAGATTCCCTAATGGAAGATGTAACAAAATACTCGGCTTAATCATGGAAAAAATAATTATTGAGACTTGTATTTGAAATTTAAAAGAAATTCATTTTAAGATGGACTTCAAACAAGTGAAAGAATATAGTTTTTAAGAATGATAATAGTTGAGACTGGAGAGATGGGTCAGCAGTTAAAAGCACTTGCTGTTCTTCCAGAGGACTCAAGTTTTGATCCCAGCACCCACATCATGGAGCTTACAATAGCCTATAACGCCAACTCTAAGGGATCTAACACCCTCTTCTAGCCTCCTCGGGTACCCACATACATTTATGTACACAAGCACACATAATAAAATAAAATTTCCTTTTGAGTTGATTTTTCATGAAAAATCTGTGTATAGTTGAGCAGAGGTACAGCAAGCATTGATCTGCTCTATGGTTTACAAAGTCGTTTTGCTGCCATCCTGAAATGTATATGAAAATTTAATCTTGTAATATTTCTACTACCATAGTTTAATTTTTGAACTATCATTTCTCTCCTCTTTAAAATTGAAGTTATTTCAGAGTATGATTCAAAATAATTCCTATATTTTAAAATCTTTTTCCCAATTCCTTCACAAGTATACCACAAAGTAAAGAGGTTATTTTTATTGTTAGCAAACTGGGTTGTGTTCCCTCCTCCCCCAGCATAAATTCAAATAGAAGACCTCCTAAAATATCTTACTAAGTTAGTCCCAAAGCCTCGGGATCATTTGTTGCAGAAGCTAATTTGATATGGACATTGTTCCATTTCCCCTTAAAGAAATTTACTATCTATCTGTGGCCCATAAGCATTTAATTGGGTTTTAATTAATTATTCCTTCTGCCCCCATAACAAGTAAGTAATTGGGTCAAGGTGGTGGCTCATGCCTTTAATCCCAGCACTTGGGAGGCAGAAGCAGGCAGACATATGGATCTCTGAGTTTGAGGCCCAGCCTGGTCTCCGTAGTGAATCCAGGCCAGCTGTGACTATAGGGAGACCGTGTATCAAAAAGCCAGAAAAAAAAAAAAAAAAAACAAAAAAAAAAAAAAAAAAAAAAAAAAAAAAAAAAAAAGTAAGTAGTTGGGACATGATATAAGGAGACTGATAAACCAGGAGGTGGAGAATCTCTGTTCTGTAAGCCATGTCACCTTTGGATTAATTTCCTAATCGGTCTTGTATAATTGTTGTGAGAGTTGAGATAGCCAATGATATCTCTAAAAACATTCCATTTTGCTTCATCTTTAATACTTACAAAATCAAAGGAAGCCTGTGAGGAACTGGTATTAAGTGATAGAGCTAGTTAGCAATACAGCTGGGGTAGGTCTGGTTAGCATTGTAGTCTTCAAACCTCTTTTCTAAGTCAGTGTGCTTTGGTGTTAATTTTAGGCAAAGTTGTGGTGTCCTAAAGCCTGTGGTGCCTCATTTTCCTTATGTATTCATTAAAAAAAATTTTTTTGAGCACCTGTATGCTATACAGTGTGCTGGGTTTGGGGGATATGATTGTAGAAAAAAGCAAACAAGTTCTGTCCTTTCATGGAACCTAACAGCCAGTAAATAAGAATCTAAGTATTAACTAGATATTTATCTAAAACGTATGCTCTCAGAGAAGGGGGAAGCTACTTTAGATAAAGCCATCAGAGGAGACCTCTTTAAGGAAAGACATTTAACAGAATATTTGAAGGCTGAAAGAACTCAATATGGTACAGCTGAGGAAGAAGACAGCATGTACAAAGGTCAGAGGTCAAGGTGGAGGAGACTGGGGTTTGGCGTCCTTGAAAAACTCAGGCTGGGAGAATGGGAGAAAAGACTTGTCTTCTGGGCAGATCATGCACTCTCTCACCTTCATCTCTTCACCTGCAGAATGAGATTCTTGCATTAATTCCTTGCGACAATTGAAGGAGGTGACATTTGAAAGAGCTTTTCGTGTAGGAAGTACTCAATTAGTAGAATTCAAATTGATGCAGAGGAGAGAGGGAGGAAGAGGAAAGAGCAGAACTGTGAGTGGACCTGGGAAGCAGGGAGAGGAAGAGCCCCATAGTGAAGGAGGGCGCTCAGCAGGGGCTTGAGGCCACAGGAAGGAATTTCTGCTTTTCAGTGAAGTGGCCAGTGCCTGAAGGGTGGGGGAGGGAGGGGAGCTGAGCTATGCTGTGGGGGTCACTCTGGATGCTAAATAGGGAATGCTGTGCTGTGCCCAAAGCAGGAAAGGAAGCAGGCACAGCATTAGTGGTGGTCAGTTGCCCTAATCTCTCAGAGAGCTTTCTTGAGTCTATTTTTGTTTTCTTTGAAGAGCCTTGTATCCTAGTTTTTCTTAACTTTCGTAGCTGCCTACATGTAGAACGCCCAGTAAACCTGATTCGTCCTCCCTGTCCTTTAAAACACCATCCAGCACCTTTCAATGAAAGGGAGATAAGATGAAACAAATGTTTAATTTTACTCTAAGGTTCTGTTCACTCCTGTGTCTCCTAGGAATCAGAAACTTTAAGAAGAGTATAGAGTAGTATTGGACCTGGAAAACTGGTGTTAGCATTCTACAGGACAGCAGAGTGAAACATCAGTTTTAAATTTAAAAAAAAAAAAAAAAATTAAGGCTCAGAGAGATTTGTTAATTTTTCCAGTGACTCATCTCGTTAACTGTTGGCAACGCTCAAGTTACCACTGATTGCCTGATTCTCAGACCGTACTATTCCTGTTCTGATGTAGTTGTCTTGTTTGGCTTTGAATAATAACCTCTTCCGAGCCTCTGAGGGCTTCTTATTGTCCTATAGCAGTGCATTCTGGGAGAGACTGTAGGAAAGGACTTGCAGCTGGTTTCCCATGATGCTCATGAGCCTTGCTGGGTAGACTTCACACTGCATAGGTCCATACTGTTTGGGAAACTCCGTCACTGGGCCCAGCATTTATTATGCTTTTCTAATAGGTAAGTTATTGTTAGAGCATGCCAGCGAGACCCGGACACAGTGGAAGGAAAGTGTCCAGAGAAGCATGCTCATCTGAGTTCCATTGATTGAGACATTTAGCTTTAAAAAAAAAAAAAAAAAAAAAGGAAAAAAGAAAACAATGTTTGTGCGTGTGTGTTTTTAGGTAATCCATGACACGAGAGCCTTGTGGTAATGAGACCCAGATTTCCTCTGTGTCTGTATCCCTTCATGCAGGCATGATTTCTTGGAAAGGAGAGTCCATGTGTCAAACAGTGTCTCATTGAGAACATGGAATGATTCCATAGAGGCTGTGGCAGTGATTAGAGTCTTAACTATTTTGTCCTGTCTGGATCAGTGGGTGCTTGGTTCCCTGACAGATCAGCTGCCTCAGTGATTGGGAAGGCAGGATGGTAAGAGCTTTTAGATCACTTACTATACTCAGATGCATTTGAATATGAAGAGTTTGTCCAGCATTTAACTCAAAGGAACATTTGAACTGGTTTATAATGTTTAGGTGGGCATTGTAGTGTGTGTGTGTGTGTGTGTGTGTGTGTGTGTATGTGTAACTTTTTTGTCAGACAAATTACACAAAAGCTGCAGCTTTGAGTGGCTTCCTACACTTATGAAAACAAACAATAGTAAAAAAAGAAAAGAAACAAATTAGAAATATCTCTTGTGAGGAAGCTGCCAGCTTTTGTTTTGCTTTTTAAGCCCCTTCAAAGACTGTTTGAATTTGTATCTTTTCACATACCTGAGTCTTCAGCTCATGGCCTTCCTCCCCAGAACCTCCTCCCCCACTCCACTTCTTGTAACCCACAGAACAATCATCTGTGACCTTTGTCACCCCCAGAGCAGCATAGGAAACCAAACCTCTGCTCTATGTTAGGTGTCATGGACGTCATTAATGCTTACTGGAAAAGCACACCCCAGAGAGCCATGTTTTGGCTTTGGCAGGTAAAAAGTCTTTCAGATCTTGGAATGCTGGAAACCTTAAACCTTTTGGTTTTTAGCTAAAGTGATTGGCAACAGAATGTGACATCTGAGGTTGCATGGCCTGCAGTCGCTGTAATTAACCACATGAGCTCACATTTTCCCACTGGAGGCTCAGTGGTCTTGGGGTGATGAAAGTGACTTCCCAACCAGGAGGTGGTTTTCCTTTTGAGGGCATTGGAATACCCTTGGGCCCTGTAATGCTTCACCCGTAGTCCCTTTAAAATGCTTTTTAATATAAAGCTTCAATATTAGAAATCCAACACCACAATGTTTAGCTGTGCAGCTGATGGAGCGATATGCCCTGGACTGGGAAACATCCTAGGGTGTTTAATAGGTGGAGGGAGTCTTGTGGCAGCAATGGTGAGTGCAAACAACCTGAATCGAAACTTGTTTCCAGTATTACTGAGCTGCAGTGTTCCCTGTTTGCTTTGAATTTTTCATTTCTGTGCATAGGCTTCACTTAGAGGTACCTTTTTAATGTTTCAGTTTGAACAAAATTGATTTTGGTAACTGGGGGGGAGGTGATGTTAGATCAGTTCTTTGTTCTTTTAATAAAGGTGTGTGCAGAGTCTCAAAATATGCAAATGTAATTTGTTACCATTACCCTTTTAGTAATCTAGGAAGAATGCAGATGCTTGATTGAGGTTTTAGCTTTGGATAAATGTTTTTAAACATTCATGCTTTGCATTTGACTTATTTGGAAGGGTCATTAAGAGGTGTTTTGTTGCTTTCTGGAAGTTCTCAATCCCTTTTCCATCAGGTCCTATAGGAAGGGAAAGCCTAGTGTATGCAAAGGGCGGTCCACCGGTGCAGCACTGGCCTTCTCCAGTCCTCCTTCCTCCCCTTGCTCTCTCCCTTCAAAAGATGGTTCTTTTCATCACCAAGTTCTTTTACTCAGAGGAATATTTTCAATTTGGTGGCACTATTGTTTTTCTAGAAAGCAGGAGGCAGGGATTATCAAACTCTAAAGAAACTCATCCCAGTTGTGAAACCAGACGTGGAGGTTTCTGGAGCTGCATGTTGTAAGGTGTAGATGCAGTTCTCCCATTCAGTCCGTTGCTTATGATTTTTACCAATATGATTTTGACCAATCCATACTACCTGGACCTCATTTTTCTCATCAGTGAGTTGATAGTGTTACACTCACTGATATCAGAAGTTTCTCTAAGCTGGGACTGGAGAGATGGCTCAGAGGTTAAGAGCACTGACTGCTCTTGCAGAGGATCCTGGTTTGAATCCCAGCACCCACATGGCAACTAACAACCATCTGTAACTCCAATTCCAAGGGATCCAATGCCCTCTTCTATCCTCCTTGGACACTGCACAACACCGTTGTACTTATGTACATGCAGGCAATACACTCATACACATAAAAAAGTTAATAAAATAAATTTCTCTAAGCTTTACTATCCTATGACATAGAATTTATGATTTAAAGTACTTTTAGGTTCAAGGAACTAGCTCATTCAGTAAATTGCTTGTCACATAAGCATGAAGACCTGAGTTTGATCCCCAGCACCCAAGTGAAAAACTAGGTATGGTGACCCATCCTTGCAATCCCAGTGCTGGGGAGATAGATCCCTAAGGGCTCAAGCCTAGCGGTCCCAGGGAGACTTGTTTTCAGAAAGCAGGATGGCCAGCTCCCAAGGAGTGACCTAAGGTTAACTTCTGGCCTCCACACACACAGTGCACCTGAACATGCATAAACTCATGCCCACAGACACACATTCATACAGTATTTTTAGTCTCTAGTGTAGTAAGGTAGACGGGTTTTTACGGAGGCAGAGTTTTGCAGTAGTAATCAGTATTTGGGTAGGACTGGGATAAGAGGATGTGTTCTCTAAAAATAATTAGGATGCTCATTAATGCAGACATGACTCCTCTGTAATCAGTTGAAATGAATGTTCACCTTTGTTCATGAGATTGTTTGGAGAGAATGGCAAACCCTGGCTGTGAAGCCTTTTCATCAAGCACTACATGAATCAGGAACCACAGGCTTGTTATGTGTTCTCTTCCCTTAGTAGAAAGTGTGAAGATGATGAGGTGGTGCATGTGTTAGATGCCGTCTACATTCTAGGATTCCAAGTTAAAAATGAGTATATATTGCTGTTATTTTAACAATAAAGTTCTGCAACAGAATGGTAGAGTGGGAAAGGACAGGGTTTGGTGTGAGCCCAATTTATTTTCCAGCTGTTACTTTGAACAGTTCTTTAATCTCTTTGAGCTTTAGTTGTTTCTTTTTAATCTGTAAAATGAATAAGACAGCATTAGAAAGGGGTCTAACTTAGTATTTGTTGGTGAATGAATGACTATCAGATATAAAGTATTACTGCAAATGATTCTAGGCAGAAGAAAACATGTAACAGTAAAGGTTACTTGTTTTTATAGGAATAATCAGAAACAAAGAGATTTCTGGTAGTTAAGGCAGAGAATTCACTGAGGATTGGCTGGTGTGGTGGCGTTTCTAATGTGAAAAACTAGTGCTTAGATAATGAAACAATAAAAGGAAGAATGTGAAAAATATGACGATTAATTCAAGTTGAAGGTGCCCTCCAGAAGTAGTCAGGAAGTAGTCAGACTGTGGTCATCTCAGTCATTCCAGCCCTTCTTCTCCAGGTGGCTGAGTATTCCAGTTTATGATGAAATCTTTACATGTGTCTGCACTTTTTAAGGTACTTTAGTAATATTACATACTTAGCAGTTTTATTTTCATTCTTTCTTGGGAACATTTAACACTTTCTGTTGTGTTACTCTGAATTCTGAGTACCTGCATAATCATTTATCAACTCATAGGTATGAATGGAAATATGAATGATGAGTTTTTAAAATATAATTTGTGACTTTTAAAAAGTTAGATGCTTCTGTTTGACTATAAGCCACATGTAGTCTTTTTCCCTTCTAGTTACATCTACCTAAATCACTTTCTGGGTTGGTGCATGGTTTTTGACGCTTGCTTTCACTATTGAAAATGTTTCCCCCTTTATCCCATCTCCAAACTTCCCAGGCTTATTTATGCAACATTGTCTTTATCAATATCAGAAATATACCCCATAATGATATATTACGCTGTTTTACTTCACTTTGGAATTAATAATGTTGTACAGCATTGGAGCTATATTGCCTAAGAAGTATTTGGGCATGCTAAGAATTCTTGCTTAAGCAGTGTATCACATGTTAACCTCGTTACTTTAATCATTGGGAAATAGCTTTAAGTATAGTTAGTAGTTGAAATTTCAAGTCTTGTTAATGTGTTTAGATTTGCATAATTCACATAATTTAGATAAATCATTAATACTTTAAATATCACATATATGCATAAGACCTCCCCAGAGCTACATTTATAAGGTAAATGGTTGTTTTCTTTTCCTCTGCTTTTGAATTTACAGCAAAAGATGATGGAAGCATTGCTGTTGCCCTTGGTTACACTGCACATTTGGTCTCCATGATTTCCTTTTTCCTACAAGTGCCCCTCAGATACCCTATAATTCATAAGGGGTCTAGATCAACAATCAAAGATAATATCAATGACAAGCTGACTGAAAAGGAACGAGAGTAAGTGTCTTGTTTGTTTGTTTTCTGACATCAGCCAGTATGAACCATGGATGAAACAGTGAGTATATTGAAAATATAAATGTGATCTAAATTATGACAATTTTATGTTACTTTTGTAAAGTGTACCATTTCTTTTAAATAATGTATAATAGTTATTCAATTAGATTTTAATTGTTCAACTGCTATGCTTAAAAAAGTTACTGAAGCTAGAAAAATTGAACAACCTGCAGGTCAAAAAAGCTGTAAGGAAAGTTTGCATTTTAAACTGTGTGATAATGAGAATATAGCATATCTAAGTTTGCAGTGTGTAGCCAGGTTTGTGCTTAGAGGAAAATTTATGTCTTAAGTACATATATCAGGAAAGAATATTTAAAAGTAAATTATCTAAGTCTTAGTGTAAAGAAACTGAAGAAGTTACTGAAGCCCTAGGAAAGTATGAGGATGGAAATAATCAGGATAAGCACTGGAATCAGATGGACTACTGTGCAGTGGGGCAAAGAAGTTCTGATCCTTGAAAAAAAAAAACAAAACAATGCATACAGCCCTAGAAACATAAAAGCCAGACAGAATAGCCAGGATGAGGAATGAGAAAAGCAACATGACAAATAATATACAAGTATTAAGGGGCAAGGAGCGCTTACAGACAACTTGATACTAAATACTGCTTTGCAGCACAAATAGTTGAGGTTTAGAAAACACCATACTAAACCTAGCGTGTGGACAACAATTCCAGCACTTGGGAGGTGGAGACTGGAAAAGAAGAAGGGAAGGAGGAAGAGCAGAAAGCAGAGAGGAAGCATTAGTGAGTTTAACTAAAGGAATGAGGATATAGACTATTCAGGCAATGATTCTTACCTCTGACTTCACATTAGTCATCTGGAGAGCCTTAAAAACTATGCTCCAGGGGCTGGAGAGATACCTCAGTGGTTAAAAGCACTGGCTGCTCTTGCAGAGGATCTGGGTTTGATTGCCAGCACCCACATTGTGACTAACAACTGTCTGTAAGTCTAGTTCCAGGGGATCTGACACCCTCTTCTGACCTCTGCACCACGGGTGCACTTACATACATAGGCAAAACACTCATACATATAAAATAAAAATAACAAATTTTTTTTAAACAAAAACTGAACTTGGGCTGTAGCGATGGCTCAGCAGTTAAGAACACTGGCTGTTCTTGCAGAAGACCTGGGTTTGAATCCCAGCACCCACATGGCAGCTAACAACTGCCCATAACTCCAGTCCCAGGGGATCTGACAGCCTCTTTTGTCCTCCGCGGGCATTGCACGACATGGGTGCACTTACCTACATGCAGGCAATACACACATACACATAAAAATAATAAATAAAATATTTTAAAAAACCCAAACTCCTGACCCCTCCCCAGAGATCCTGATTCCATTGATAGGACTCAGATATGAGGTAATTTTTAAAAACTTCATAAGGGGTTCTAATGTGTAATTGTTGTTGAGAACCACTGTTCTAGATTAAGATCTTGTTTTCAAGACATGAAGAGGTGAAATGTTCCCTAGTACATTGAGGAAACTGCAGACAGTTTACACTGGGTGTGCAGAGAAGGCACCAGCAGATCTTAGCCTATGTAGTCAGCACTTGGTATCCATGTGTTCCACCCATACCTGTGAATTCTGTGTCTGTGAATTCAACCAACATTAGATTACAAATATTGGAGGGAAATTGTGTCTGTTTTGAACATGTATAATCACACCCTAAATAGTATAGTATAACAGCTGTTTAACCAACACTTCCATAGTGATGCTGTGACTGTTTATGCACAGGTGTTTGAGTACCCGTTTTCAGTTCTTTTGGATATGTGCCTACCAGTGAAGTCGCTGAGTCATGTGGTAGTAGGCATGTAGTAGCTTAGAAATGATTTGAAACATACATAGACTGTATTTAGATACCATGCCATTCATATAAGGAACTTGAGAAGCATAGATTTGGGCATCCACAGAAAGGGGTAGGAGTCAGTCCCTCTCAGCTATCGAGGGTCACTGTTTTTCTGGAAGAGCAATGGCTCTCAGCTAGAAAGCATTTATTCATCCAGGTCAGTGCCTCTTCCAGTGTGATTGATTTGAGCCTAAGTATTTTCAGTTTCAGAAACATAAGAAATTGAATGAGAGCCTGTGCTGTATATGTTTGCAAAGGGAGCATGGCGTGTTTTCTTGTCTTCTGTTTTAAAAAAATCAGTGTGAAATTCACATAACATACTTCAAGCTCTTAAGTGTAAGTTCAGTGATAATTAGTGCATTTTCAGTGTTGTACAGCCAACACCTCTGTAGTTCTAAAACCCCAGAGAACCCCACACCCATTAAGCAGTTACTCCCTAACCCCCCGCCCCTTCTCAGCCCCAGGCAACCACCAATCTGTTTCTGTCTTTATGGATTCTCCGTGTCTGGACATTTTATATAAATGGAACCATACAATATGTGACCGTTTTCTTCCTGGCTTCTTTGGTTAGCATAATGTTTTCAATATGTGTCTGTGTTGTAGCGTAATCGGTACTTCATTCATTTTTATGGTCCAATAATTTTCCATTAAGTGTGTATACCACATTTTGTGTCTTCATCTCTGGATGGAGATCTGGGTTATTTCTACCTGTGGCTCTTGTGAACAGTGTTGCTGTGAATATTTACACACAGTTGTTTGAATGCCCATTCTCAATTCTTTTCACCTACCAGTAAAGCTGCTGAGTCACATGGCAGTTCTATGTTGAACTTTTAGAGGAAGCCCCGAATGGTTTTCCACAGCAGCTGCACCATTCCCATATAAAGAGTGCTGTCCCTCTCTGGTTGCAATTTGCATTTCCTTGTTGAAGAGTGGTGTTTTCTTTCTTGCGTTTTTTTTGTTTTGTTTTGTTTTGTTTTGTTTTGTTTTTTTCCTCGTGCTTATTAACCATTCATATGTCTTCTTTGGTGAAATATTTAGTCATTCTTTTGCACATTTTCTAATCGGGTTGTCTTTTTGTCACAGGATTTCTTTAATTAGTCTGGATATTAGACTTATCAAGTAGTGATTTGCAAATATTTTTCTCTAATTTTGTGGGTTGTTGTTAGAGTTTAAAGCCCCAAATTAAAGTCAATATTATATGCCTTGGCATATAGAGAGAGCAGGAAAGCTTCCTATGGGCCCCTTTTCAGTTACCTGGGGTCACCTCTGACTTTTGATACTGTGAAGTCTCTGTCTAAGCAGACCATGCCTGGTCTTTTTTGCTGTTATAGCCAAAGGTGAGGGAGAACCTCAGACACTGGGAAATTCATAAAGAAGGAATTTATTCTTCATGGCTCTCAGATGGAGAAGCTAAAAATCAAGGTTTGGTGTTCTGTGGCCAAAATGATCTCTGTTATTACATTCTCCAGAAAGGAGCAGTGCTGTATTCTCATTTAATAGGAGGGATGGAAGGTGTAGAAAGGAGTCAGATTCTGTCTGTCAGGCCCTTTTGCAATATCTTTATTCAACATCTCTTAAAGGCTCCACCTCCTAACAGTTAGATTGAAGTTGTTTCTAACACTCATAACATACTGTTCACTCTTTTTCCCAAATGCAGCCACTACACAAAGCACAGATGCTGTCGTCTTCCTCATATGTATGCATGTGCCTGATAATCTGCTCTTAATCCCATCTGTCTAGTGTCCAGTGTTGCATGTTTAACCATCCCTGTAATGCTAGGGCAAGAATTTCCCATCAACAGAGTAAAGAGAAAGCCTTTAAAATAGTTGTTTTACAGCCTTCATGGTGCTGTGATGCATAAAAGTACTTAATTTTAATAAAGCTCATTTTTCCTTTTCTGTTGTTGTTTGTGGTGTTTTTGGTGTCCCCTAAATTCCATTGCTAAATCCAAAGCCAAGATTCACCCTTACGTTTTCTTATACTAGTCTTAACAGTTTTCGGTCTTGCATTTAGCTATTTGTTCCTACTTTTTCATTTGCAGTGTGTTGAAGAGACTATTCTTTCTCCCTTGTTGGCTTTGGCATCCTTGTTGCAAAAACTCAATTAGTCATGGATTATTTCTAGACTCTGTTTGTATTCCAGGTCTATATGTCTGCTTTTATGCCAGTACCATAATAATGTTTGCATTTTTGAATGGTAAGTACTTCAAATTTGTTCTTTTCCAATATTGTTTTGGCTCTTCAGGGTCCTTGGCAATTCCATATGAATTAAAGATCAGCTTTTCCATTTCTATTTGAAAAAAGCCACTATGATTCTGATAGGGATTAAATTGAATCATAGATAACTTAGATAGCATTGCCATCTTACTAGTAAATATTGCCGTCTCATTGGTAATTGATGATGGTAAGAGGCTGTCTTTCTACTTATTTAGGTTTTCTTCAATTCCTCTTGGCAATGTTTTATATTTTCAATATACAGATTTTTGTACCTCCTTGGTTAAATGTATTCCTGTGTATCTTACTGTAACTTCAGTTCTCTCACAGACTGTTGGATTTTCTGTACATTGGTTCAAGTTGCTTTTGAATAGAAAAGGTTTCAATTCTTTCTGGTTTATATGCTTTGGTTTTTGTTTTGTCTTGTCTTGTTTTCCTTACCTAATTGTCTGGCCAGAACTTCGAGCACAGTGTTGAGTAACAGTGATGAAAGCATGCATCTTTGTCTTTTCTTCTTTGAAGGAAGAAGTACTAGTCTTCTCCCATTGAGTCTAATGCTTTTTCATAAGTGTCCTTAATCGTGCTCAGGAAGTTCCTTTCTGTTCCTTGTTTTCTAAGTGTTTCTATCATGAAACAACGTTGAGTTTTATCAGATGCTCTCTGTTTAAAAATTGGGATGATCAAATGGTTTCATTGCTTTCTTCTGTTAATGTGCTGTGTAGCACTGATTCATTTTTGTATACTGAGCCACCCTTGCATTCCTGAGAAAAGTCCCTCTTTGTCATGGCCTGTAATCCTTTTAACATGCTATAAGATTCAGTTTGCTAGTATTTTGTTGACAGTTTTTATACCTGTATTTGTGAGATATTAGGCTGTCGTTTT